TAATTTCAAACGACATGTAAATTAAAGGATGATTTACAGAGAGAGGATTGTGTTTACACCTGAGGTAAATATTTGACGGAGCATGACGTATTTGTGTGTGTGTGTGTGTGTGTGTGTGTGTGAAGCCCTGTTATTACACACACACACACACCACACAATCATCAAAGCAATAAATTAAGTTACAATTTAGGTGAATTAATAACTTGAGATCACCATTTCTCTCTCTCTCTCTCTCTCTCTCTCTCTCTCTCTCTCCTCTCTCTCTCTTTCTCTCCGTTTCTGTGTTTGGTCATTTACTACCGGCAGACCGTGGGGATAGTAAAACACCCGCAATTGCTGGTGTGGGTTTGGGCTAGACAGGAGGCTTGGGTGTGTGGGTGTAGCCGTGGGTATGAGTGGGGCAGGTGTGGGCAGGCGTGGGTACAGTGGGCATTAAGTGAGTTGATGGGGAGAAAATGAGAGAATAAAGTGTAGGTGTAGCCCACAAGTGAAGTATACTACCACAGGTGTGCACACAATTAGGACACGTACTTTACACCTGTCTGACGACATTAACAGTAATATCAGGTAAACACAGGTGTTCTGGGCCTCATTAATGTATCCATAGGGACCAATACTAACATTCTTACTTTTATAGGTTTATTATTATGTATTAGGATATTTAATATTAAGGTAATTAAATGGTGGCGAAGGTGTGGCTATTGGGGCTGGAGCCACGTTTAAAAAAAAGTAGTAGTAGTAGTAGCAGTAGTAGTAGTAGAGCTGCCACCCGAAACATCAAAAACTCAGTTAAGCTCACGGCAGCCCTCACGGACCACATAATAGCTCAGAATGCAACAGGAGGTGGATACCAGTGAAGTAAACAAGATTCAAGGTCCATTACGACAGAACGGCCACAGCCAAAGGACAAGTTGCAGCAACTGTTGTTGCAAGTTCAGAAATTTTAAGAAAAAGAAGAAGCTATAGTGCAGGAGTGGGCGCCTCAAACTGGTTAACTACGTTACCGATAAGGGCAAATGGTTTCAGTCTCAAAAAAAAGAATTTACAGATGCCATTGCTCTAAGGTACAGTAGGCCAGTGGAAGGTTTGCCCTCCCAATGCGTGTGTGCTCATCCTATGACGCCGATCACGCCATAGTATGCTGAAAGGGCTTCATATGCATGAGGCATGACGAAGTAAGACCTCACAGCAAATATATGTTGAAGAAATCTGCCGTGATGTCATGGTAGAACCGACCCTCCTTCCATGGACGGTGAGATTTTCCAACATAGGACTTCAAACACATCCAGCAAGCCCGTGTTGACGTCAGTGCTCGAGGATTCTGGACGCAGGGACAGCAAGCCTTCTTCGACATCAGGATATTTGATCCCATGGCCGCATGTCAACGTAACTTAGCTCTCGTTGCTGCACATAGGAGAATGAGAACGACAAGATAAGGGCATATGGAGAGAGAATCAAAACGTTGATCAAGGCAGCTTCACCCTTCTAGTGTTCACAACCTCTGGTGGGATGGGCCCAAGTGCAATGTTTCTACGCCAGACTCGCGGAGGTGATCTCGAACAAGCAGCAGCCAAGTTTCGTTACAGCCTGGATGAGATGTCGTGTCTTTCTCTCTCCTTCGGTCGGCTTTGCTCTCCTCCGGAGCAGGGGCTTCTGCCCAACTCCGACAACTGCCGCAGATATTGACTATGATCACTGAATGCCGCATAGATCTGCGGCTCCAACAAATTAACACAGATAGGATAGCTACTTATGTATTAGGATATTTAATATTAAAGTAATTAAATGGTGGCGAAGTGTGGTTATTGAAGCTGACACGTTATAAAAAAAAAAAAAAGTAGTAGTAGTAGTGGACGCGGTCAACACTCCACGTCTACCAACAGGAACGAAAAACCTACTAGTTACTTAGTTTGTCTCATGTTGCTGTATTGTCCCCATGCGCCAGCCCTCACCGCAGCCCACCGCATCTCCATATCAGCCTTACGCAGCTCAGTACAGCCATTACCGCAGCTCTCAGTACAGCCCTTACCCGCAGCTCTCAGTACAGCCATTACCGCAACCCAGGTACAGCCCTTACCGCAGCTCTCAGTACAGCCCTCACCGTAGCTCTCAGTTCAGCCCCTTACCGCAGCTCTCCAGTAGCCCTTACCGCAGCTCTCCAGTACAGCCCGCCCGCAGCTCTCCAGTTCAGCCTTACCACAGCTCTCAGTGCGGCCCTTACCGCAGCTCTCAGGTGCACAGCCCTTACCGCAGCTCTCAGTACCAGCCCTTACCGCAGCCCTCTTCACAATGCAGTATTACACAACGCAGTATTACCAGCACAACACCAGTATTACAACACCAGTTACTAACACCAGTATTACCAATACAACAGCGGTATTGCCAACACAACACCAGTATTACAACACCGTGTTACCAATACAACAGCAGTATTACCAACACAACACCAGTATTACCAATACAACACAACAGCAGTATTACCATCCCAACACCACCGTGAAAATATTAATTCAGCAAATATTTACTTCACAATTAATTATTTCGCATCATCATCCGGCATGTCAATGGTGATCTCACACACACACCACACACACACACACACACACACACACACACAGAGTGCATCTTTTATTATAGGACAGGCAGCAGAACCATCCCGTCTACACTACCTGCATCCGTCTACACTACACTACACTACACCAGCCCCTGTCTACACTACATCGTCTACACTACACTCGCCTGTCTACACTACTACACCATCCGTCTACTACACCATCCCCACTACACTACACTACACTAGCCCTGTCTACACTACACTACACCATCCCGTCTACACTACACTGACCCTGTCTACACTACACTACCATCCCGTCTACACTACACTACACCATCCCGTCTACAACTGCACACCATCACTGCACTACACTACTTACACCTGCTACACTACACCATCCCGTCTACACTACACTAGCCCTGTCTACACTACACTACACCATCCCGTCTACACTACCTACACCATCCCGTCTACCCACACTACACCATCCCCCACTACCTGCCCTGTCTACACTCACACTACACCATCCCGTCACACTACACTAGCCCCTGTCTACACTACACTACACCATCCCGTCTACACTGACCATCCCGTCTCTACCACTAGCCCTGTCTACACTACACCACCATCCGTCTACACACTAGCCCCTGTCTACACTACACACCATCCCCTTACACTACACTACACTAGCCCCTGTCTACACCTACACTACACCATCCCGTCTACACTACATAGCCCCTGTCTGCACTACACTACACCATCCCACTACACTCACACTACACTAGCCCCTGTCTACACTACACTACACCATCCCGTCTACACTCACTACACCATCCAGTCTACACTACACTACCATCCAGTCTACTACTACACCATCCCGTCCTACACTACACTAGCCCCGTCTACACTACACTACCATCCCGTCTCCCACTACACTACACTGCCCTGTCTACACTACACTCACACCATCCCGTCTCACACTACACTCACTAGCCCTGTCTACACTACACTACATCCCGTCTACACTACACTAGCCCTGTCTACACTACACTACACATCCCGTCTACTACACCCAACCCCTGTCTCACACACTACACCATCCCGTCTACACTACACTACACTATCCCGTCTACACTACACTACACCATCCCGTCTACACTACACCATCCGTCTACACTACACTACACCATCCCGTCTACACTACTACACCATCCCGTCTACACTACTGGCCCCTGTCTACACTACACCACCATCCGTCTACACTACACTAAACCATCCCGTCACTACACACCAGCCCTGTCTACACTACACTACACCATCCCGTCTACACTACACCTACACCATCCGTCACACTACACTACACCATCCTACACTACACTACCCATCCCGTCTACACTACACTGGCCCTGTCTACACTACACACCATCCCGTCTACACTACACCACACCATCCGTCTACACTACACCATCCCGTCTACAGTACACTACACCATCTGTCACACTACTACACCATCCCGTCTACACTACACTACACCCAGCCCTGTCTGCACTACACTACACCATCCCGTCTACTACACTACACCATCCGTCTACACTACACTACACCATCCCGTCTGCACTACACTACACCATCCCGTCTGCCTGACACCATCCGTTACACTACACTACACCATCCCGTCTACACTACACCACATCCGTCTGCTACACTACACCATCCGTCTGCACCATCCGTCTCTACACTACGCCATCCCGTCCTACACTACACTACACCATCCCGTCTGCACTACACCATCCCGTCTGCACACTACACTACACCATCCCGTCTACACTACACTACACCATCCCGTCTACACTACACCATCCCGTCTACTACTACACGCATCCCGTCTACACTACACTACACCATCCCGTCTACACTACACCATCCCGTCTACACTACTACACCATCCCGTCTACACTACACCATCCTGTCTCTACACTAGTCCCTGTCTGCATTACTACACCATCCCGTCTGCACTACACTACACCATCCCGTCTACTAGCCCCTGTCTACACTACACACCATCCGTCTACACACCACTGCCCCTGTCTCACACTACACTACACCATCTACACTTACTCTGAAGTATCTGTTTGCGTCTCTCTCTCTCTCTCTCTCTCTCTCTCTCTCTCTCTACTCTGTCTCTCTCCCATTCACCATTTATCTGTCTAGTTATCTCTCCTCTCCCCTGTCTCTCTCATTATGTCTACCATGTCTCTCTCTGCTCCAGTCATTTCCTCCTACCTCTCTGTTCTGTCTGGCTGTCTCTCTGTCTGTCTGTCTCTCTGTCTGAAACATCTCTGTCTGGCTGTCTCTCTGTCTGGCTGTCTCTCTGTCTGGCTGTCTCTCTGTCTGGCTGTCTCTCTGTCTCTGCTGTCTCTCTGTCTCTGGCTGTCTGCTCTCTGTCTAGCTGTCTCTCTGTCTGGCTGTCTCTCTCTGTCTGCTCTCTGTCTCTGTCTGCTCTGTCTGTCTCTCTGTCTGGCTGTCTCTCTGTCTGGCTGTCTTCTGTCTGGCTGTCTCTCTGTCTGGCTGTCTCTCTGCTTGTCTCTGTCTGTGTCTCTCTGTCTGGCTGTCTCTGTCTGGCTGTCTCTCTGTCTGGCTGTCTCTCTGTCTGCTGTCTCTCTGTCTGGCTGTCTCTCTGTCTGGCTGTCTCTCTGTCTGGCTGTATCTCTGCTTGTCTCTCTGTGCTGTCTGTCTGGCTGTGCACTGCTCGCATATGCCTGCTGTCTCTGTCTCTGTGCTGCAGCGCATGTCTGTGCTGGCTGCTCTGGCTCTCTGTCTGGCTGTCTCTGTCTGGCTGCTCTGTCTGTCTGTCTGGCTGTCAGCATGTCTCTCTGTCTGGCTGTCTCTCTGTCTGGCTGTCTCTCTGTCTGGCTGTCTCTGTCTGGCTGTCTCTGTCTGGCTGTCTCTCTGTCTAGCTGTCTCTCTGTCTGGCTGTCTCTCTGTCTGGCTGTGTGTGTGTGTATGTGTGTGTACACATGTATACAGAAAAATTACACACACAAACACTCCACACACACACACAATCTCTCCATACACACACACAAACAGACACACACACACACACACACACACACACACACACACACACACACACTCCAATAAACACACAACAAACGCTCTCATGTCATAAATAAAACAGAACAGATAAACAAGCAAAACAGGCAAACAGTTTCGCTCATTAACAAAACCAAGCAACACCAACCTCCATAGGCCTACTAACATATGCGTGTGTTGAGAATGGTTACACCACACACACACACACACACACACACACACACACACAGAAATATTTGTTTAGCTACCTGAATATTGCTACCCTCAGAAACCATGCATTCTCTCTCTTTCCTTCCTTCACTCATTCTTTCTTCCTTCTTCATTCCTTCTTTTCTACTTCCCTCAATTCAACTTCTTTCCTCCTTCATAACTCTCCTCCCTGTCTTCCTCCCTCCTCCGTCCTTCCCTCCCTCCCCCACCTCCCCTCCCGCCACCCTCCCCTCCTCACCCCTCCCCTCCCTGCCACCCTCCTCCTACCCTCCTCCTCCCCCTCCTACCACCTCCTCCTCCCCCCTCCCTCCCACCACCCTCCCTCCCACCCTCCCTCCCACCTCCTCCCACCTCCTCCCACCTCCTCCCCCTCCTCCCACCTCCTCCTACCCACCTCCCTACCCTCCTCCCCTCCTCCACCTCCTCCCACCTCCCCCTCCCTCCCTACCCCTCCTCCCACCCCTCCCCACCCCTCCCTCCCCTCCACCCTCCCTCCCTCCCTCCACCCTCCCTCCTGCCACCCTCCCTCCCTTACCCCTCCTCCCACCCTCCCTCCCATACCCTCCCTCCCACCCTCCTCCCCCTCCTCTCCACTCCCTGCCACCCTCCTCCTGCCACCTCCTCCCCGCCACCCTCCCTCCTCCCTCCTACCACCCTCCTCCTGCCACCCTCCTCCCTACCACCTCCTCCCTCCTCCCACCACCCTCCTCCTGCCACCCCTCCCTGCCACCTCCTCCCACCTCCTCCCACCCACCTCCTCCTCCACCCCTCCTCCCTGCCACCTCCTCCTCCTCCTACCCACCCTACCTCCCACCTCCCTACCTCCCTCCCACCCCTCCCTCCTACCCACCCCTCCCCGCCCACCCTCCCTGCCACCCCTCCCCTCCCACCCCTCCTCCCCCACCCTCCCTCCTACCCCTCCTCCCTGCCACCTCCCTCCCCACCCCTCCCACCTCCCCCTGCCACCCTCCCTCCCTCCTCCACCTCCCCTCCTGCCACCCTCCTCCACCCTCCTCCCTGCTACCCCTCCTCCCCTGCCACCCCTCCCTCCCTCCACCCTCCCTCTGCCACCTCCTCCCTGCCACCCCTCCCTCCCTGCCACCTCCTGCCACCTCCTCCCTGCCACCTCCTCCCACCTCCTACCATCCTCCTCCCACCTCCCTCCCACCTCCTCCCACCTCCTACCACCTCCTCCTCCCACCTCCTACCCACCCCTCCCCTGCCCACCTCCCCCTCCCACCTCCTCCCACCTCCCCTCCCTCCTCCTGCCACCCCTCCCCTCCCCTCCACCCCTCCTCCCTGCCCACCCTCCTCCTGCCACCTCCTCCCCGCCACCCTCCACTCCTCACCCTCCTCCTCCTTCACCCTCCCTCCTGCCACCCTCCTCCCCACCCTCCTCCCTCCACCCTCCTCCCACCCTCCTCCCACCTCCCTCCCTGCCACCTCCTCCTACCTCCTCCTCACCTCCCACCTCCTCCTGCCACCTCCTCCTGCCACCTCCTCCTCCCACCACCCCTCCCCACCACCTCCTCCCACCTCCCTCCCCCTCCCCTCCTCCCACCTCCCTCCCCACCTCCTCCTGCCACCTCCTCCCCTCCCACCCCTCCCTCCCCTTACCCCTCCCTCCCCTTACCTCCTCC